AGCCGGTTAGCAGAGAGTGTCGGCGTTGAAAAGGGCGCCACTAATGAAAAGCGGAAATCAAAGGGAAAAAAGGGTTCCAGTCCCATTTCTCGGGTTCTGAGCCGTTTCTCTTGGTCTTTTCTCATCTCTGTACCATTGACCACTTCTACCTTGATCCTAATAGGTTGCCTTTTAATCGTAAACCCCGATTGAACAATTTCATCTAGACTCCCACTCCTAGCAAATTCCTGATAATCTAGGTCTTGTTATGCTGATGTGCAGGCTTTATTTTTCAGATGACACCTCTGATACTAATAGCGACGCCAGTTTCAAGCTGTCCGATGACCCTGTCAAGGATCATCTCCTCATGGACTATTTCAAGACGCTGTCGCTGACTCCAGGAAAAGTGCCTCACTAGCTTTATCCGAAGCTGGTCTCCTAGCATTCATCCTACAGTTCCTTTCCGTCTTTCTTGCATACACACCGGTTCGATCAGTGTGATATCTCTTCATATCATTTATCTCATGCATTCTTGCGCTTTGTGTTCTCTTAATGTCTTATTTATTTATTTCCATTCATCTTCTTCATTCCTATTACTTCATGTCATTTTTGGCATTTCCTTCACGTTTGCTCTTTCCTTCTCTTTTATATTCATTCTGTGAATGTCTATGTTGTGTTATATCTTTTATCTATCACCTTTTATTATCCTGTCCCTTTTTTTCCTGTCGCTTCTGTCGATATCTATCATATTTGTCGTTTCATTTTCTTCTTTTGCTTTATCCTGTGAATTCCTTGTTATCTCTTCATATCATTTAATGTTTCACTTTATTTGTTGCCTTGCTCCTTGCCTCCGGTGGTATGCCTGTAACAAATTTATAGAAGCTGTATGGATCAGAATTGTTGTTTTTCCTGTGAATATGAATATTTTAAGTGTTACTTCTCCTAGCTTTCGTCGTGACACCGGAGAAGTGGACCGGAGTAAGAGGAGGGGGCGAGAGAGAAATGCTCAGCGGCGACGCGGACGTGAGCACGTGCTGCTGACGTCACAGCTGCGGTAAAGCGGTAAGAGCGCACCACTGCCCCTTGCACTTCGTTCCAACACTAGTGAAGTTTCTGGCGCTTTACTAACCCAAGCAGTCAATTGTGGGTAGTGAAATGATTGTCTAATGTATCATCCTCGCGTCGGAAAATAGAACTTTAAGTTTGTATTTTTCCAAATGTAGTACATGATTAGCAATGCAGTGAAAGAGGATAACGCATTCATGCGTAAACTCCTGCAGCGCTCACTTGAACAGTAGTTGAATCCCGTGAGCGAAGTAGAATACGATAAATGCTCTTCATAAACTTGCAAGGTTCTTTCAGGCTCTGAAGACGGCGACCCCGCCGAAACGTGAGCCAACAAAGCCTACATAGCAACCTCGTGGAGAGCTCTACAGAAGATATTTGCTACCAATATGGCTCCATAAAGTATTGAAGTATTGGTGGCAGCTCTGGAACTGGCTGATTACCTTGCCGGGGTCGCTCAGAGTAGAGGAAGGGGTAAATTTGTTAGCCGTTGATCAATTAACGAAGCCACGTCGACGTTCAAAGAGAAACAGTAAGGTCTTCTACAGTGACAAGTGGTGGACTTGCTTGTAAGGTGAAGCAAACCAGCCCTTTTGGCGTTTCTGCTGGGGCCGTATGCTGAATGTTGGGGAGGGGATGGGGTCCCCGAGGTCGACGGACTACTTCAACTCGGTCGGTACGGTAGGAGAGTACTGACGCAAGTGGTGCAGCTGGTCCAGCAGCTCCGCCAGAAGGGCTGGTTTGCTCACCCCAGGACTAAGCCTTGGAGAGGGGACGGACCCGTCCTCTCTTTAAGGCTTAGTTCTGAGGTAAGCACCAAATTGTGGCGGTTCTAAGGACCGAGTTGAAGTGGTCCGTCGACCGTCGGGGACCCATCCCCTCCCCAACATTCAGCATACGGCCCCAGCAGAAACGCCAAAAGGGCTGGTTTGCTTACTTCCTTGCTTGTCGCCTCAGATGCCATCCAACTCAGCTGTTCTGAAAAAAAGTAGCAACGGCTCAAATATTCATAGAGAAAGAGATATTCAACTGGTTCGAGCGAGAACCGGGTTGAAGTGGTGCTTTTCATAACTGTCGGCCTTTTCTTCGCCGGCGCCCCGCGCAGCTCAGCTGTTTCGTCGACGTTTCATTGTCTTGGAGAAGTTGAAACGAGCGCCCACTTCTTACATTGTAGGTGCTTTCAACTTCATAACAATTTAGTGCAATGAGAGTTGAGGGGAACAGCTGGTGACGCACCGATCTGCTTGTCTGAGCCATATCGCCGAGACAGTGGTGGCATTGGGTAGAACACTGAACCAACGTCTCCATACGGTGGGGTCTCCCCCAAGAGGCCCGACGCAATATGGTACACTCTGTTTAACCTGACGCCTAACCGCTACAGTATGCGCTGCGACTCGTCCTTTGCCGCGTCTGCGTCTCTTCCTTCGCCGCGCGATGGGCCTCTTGGGGGACACCCAATACGGTGCAGCGAGGGTGCTGTGTGGACCTTGGGTCCCTTATTGCCTGGGAGTGTAACAGCTAGAACTCATAACGCTAGAGACAATAACGAGAGTTCAAGATCGTCAACTTAGACGACGATGTAGGCTTGATGGCGCGTGTCGCGGATGCGACGGTGGCCCGTGGGCGCACCGTGCGCCCCGGCCCATTCGCGCTCGGATGCCAATGCGCAATGCGCCGCGCAATGCGCCCATTGCGTCATTGGCTCCGCCCCCTACGGTCAGTGCCAGCGGGCAGTCGTCGTGTGTGCCTTACGGCGAGCGGTGACCAG